CCACCGGATGAGAAAGAAGAGTTGATCTCTCTCATTAAGGAGTACATCGATGTTTTTGCCTGAAATTATGAAGATATGCCAGGGCTCGATCCAAATGTAGCAATGCACCGTCTCAATATTACACCGGATATCAAACCCGTCAAATAACAACATAGACGGTTTCGTCCGCAAATTATGGAGGCAATCGAGTCCGAAGTCAAAAAGCTTATCGAGTCGGGTTTCGTCAGGGAGGAGCAACATCCCGAATGGCTCACCAATATCGTCCCAGTCCTTAAGAAGAACGGGAAAATTAGGATTTGCATCGACTTCAGAGATCTTAACACTACCTACCCAAAAGATGATTTTCCTCTTCCCATCACAGATGTTATCATCGACAATACGTGTGGATTCGAGAGAATGTCTTTTATGGATGGATTCTCTGGTTATAATCAAATAAAGATGCATCCAGATGACGAAAAGCACACTGCGTTTAGAACACCTCTCGGTGTTTTCTGCTACACGGTTATGCCCTTTGGTTTAAAGAACGCAGGTGCTACGTATCAGAGAGCCATGTCAAAGATTTTTCAAGAGCATCTCCAAAAGACTGTCGAATGCTACGTGGACGATTTAGTCGTGCAAAGTCATGACAAAAAGGATCACATCAAGGATTTGAGGACAATGTTCGATCTGATGCGTACTCATCAATTGAAGATGAATCCTACCAAATCATTTCTCGGAATGTCCAGCGGTAAATTCCTTGGATTCGTCGTCACTACTAAGGGTATTCACATTGACCCTGACAAAGTGAAGGCGATTAACGAATTGCAACCTCCGAGAAATCTTAAGGAGCTCAAGGGACTGCAAGGACGGTTGGCTTATATCCGTCGTTTCATTTCAAACCTTTCGGAAAAATGTCAACCATTCTCCAGACTTACAAAGAAAGGCGTATCATTTATATGGGATGACAGATGTCAAAAGGCGTTTGAGAATATTAAGGAATATCTCTCAAAACCCTCTGTACTCGTTGCACCGAAATCGGGCAAACCGTTCTTGATTTATGTCAAGGCGACGAGTCATTCGTTAAGTGCATTACTTGCACAAGACGACGATAACGGTCACGAACAAGCAGTGTATTATTTAAGTCGGACCCTCGTAGGCGCCGAATCTCGATATCCAATGATTGAGAGAGAGTGTCTCCCCTTGGTATTCGCAATTCAAAAAATGTGACATTACTTAGTCGGACAGACTATATACGTCATTTCCAATGTTAACCCAATCCGAGTGTTCATGACGCAGCCGGCTTTCATGAATTGGCGATTGGCAAAATAGGCATTGCTTCTGTCCCAATACGATTTGCATTTTAAACATCAAAAGTCAGTCAAGGAACAAGCTATTTGTGATCTCCTGGCAGCTAACCCAACTACGGATGCCGCTGAGGTATATGATGATTTGCTAGATGAAACCCACAAAGTCAACGTAACTTCCCATCAACAGGTGTGGCGTTTGTATTTCGATGGTGCTTCTCAGGCAACTAATGTAGCAAGTACTCCTGGATGTTCTGAAATTTCCTCCGGAGTTGGTGTTGTCTTAGTTTCCCCGGGAAAACATGTGATGCCTAGAGCCTACTCGCTGACCGAACCGTGCTCGAACAACGTAGACGAATATAATGCGCTGCTTATTGGACTCAGTTTTGCTAAAGAGCTGGGGGTCGAATATCTCAAAGCTTTCGGTGATTCTCAACTAGTAGTTAAACAAATTCAGGGAGAGTATGAGGTTAGAAATCAGGATTCTCAACTAGTAGTTAAACAAATTCAGGGAGAGTATGAGGTTAGAAATCAGGATTTGATACCGTACCATAAGGTGGCCGTTGAGATGGCAAGAGTATGAGGTTAGAAATCAGGATTTGATACCGTACCATAAGGTGGCCGTTGAGATGGCAGAATCGTTCGAAGGATTCTTCATCGAATACATTCCACGCTTACAAAACACGTACGCAGATGCACTGGCAGCATTAGTCGTGTCCCTGGCGCAGCCTCCCGAAACGGAACAGTTAGTTACGGTTTGAACTCACCAACTCTTCGTGTCGATCTACGATGAAGATGACAAGGAAGAGGATATTAAAGAAGTACATTCAACTCAAGCTGAGTTCAAACCCCGAGATTGGCGTTTTCCTATCATAGATTACGTCATGCACGGAATCTTTCCAGAAGACGTGAAGGAAAGAGACTCAATCCGACGAAGAGCACCGAGATTCTACTACAACATGGAGAGTCGAACGTTATATCGCAGGGGGTATGATGACTTACTACTACGTTGCTTATCGATTAAAGAAGCAGAAGAAGTCCTGAAAGAGACGCATGAAGGGGTTTGTGGCGCACACCAACCTGGCCCCAAGCTTTATGACCGCATCAGGAGAATGGGATATTATTGGCCCACCATGATTAAAGATGCGGTCGCATATGCCCGAAAGTGTCACGCGTGTCAAGTACACGCGAATTATATGCACCAACCCCCGGAGCATTTGCACCCTTCGGCTACATCATGACCTTTTGAGACTTGGGGAATGGATATCGTTGGTCCTATAAATCCCCTGTCAGTCAAAGGTGATCGATTCATTCTCGCAATTACCGATTACTTCTCCAAATAGGCTGAAGCGATTCCACTCAGAGAAGTTAAGACAAGCAATGTTATCGCATTCATCAAGAACCATATTATCTACCGATATAGTGTCCCAAGACGGATCATACATGATAATGGTCCTCAGTTTGTCAGTAATGCATTCATCAGATTTTGCGAGAAGTTTAAAATTCAAGACGTCTCGTCAACAGCTTATAATCCCACGGCAAATGGATTAGCTGAAGCCTTTAACAAGACTATCATCAAGCTTTTATCAAAACTCGTGAAGACTAACAAACGAGATTGGGATGATAAACTCGGCAAAGCACTATGGGCTTATCGCACCACAGTTCGCACGCCTACTGGCGCAACCCCGTATTCTTTGGTGTACGGATGTGAAGCCGTCCTTCTATTAGAAATTCAAATTCCATCTCTTCGAATCGCTCTTGCAGCTTAGATGACGACCGAAGAAGAACATCAGAAACGTCTCGAAGAACTCGAGATGCTCGATGAAAAGCGCTTAGAAGCTCAACAGCACATTGAGTTCTACCAAGCCAGAATTTCCCGAGCTTTTGATAAAAAGGTTCGGCAACGGAGTTTTAAAGAAGGAGTTTGGTCTTAGCTGAACGACGGCCTATGATCCTTAATTCCAAGAAGAAAGGCAAATTCGAACCCAAATGGGAAGGGTCGTTCGTAGTCGAGACAGTTTACTCGAGTGGCGCATATCGCCTTATTACCAAGGAAGGCGACCGGCTTATGATGCCGATAAACGGCAAGTTCCTGAAAAAAATACTACCCTTAGTATATTCAGGATAACCAATGTATTGGGATGTTCCCAGAAGAATACTGCATGTGGTATTCTTAGGGATAACCCAGTCGCTATGAAAATAATGAATAAAAAAATCCACACCTAGACTCTAAATGTATTCAAAGTTAAAGCGTGTTTTATTATTGATGAATGAGATTCGATCATTTTGACAGATCAACCTTTCCTCACAAAATCCTCCAATGATCAAATCAATTGACAGTGGGTCCACTAAAATTTCTATCCGCCAAGTCATGGCAATTTTCAAAGCTTGACGTGTTCAGTCCTGATCACTTAACATCGAAATCCTCCATCGAGTGGCTAGTACAAACCGGTATTTCTACTGTTACATGTATTCCACTCTCTTTGCTTTCAGGTCAAACCTATAAAAGTTAGGGCCAAAGCCAGATTCCCCACTCGATTCCTTCCATGAACGATGTTCTCTTTCAATTTGAGCAATCAAACCTATAAAAGTTAGGATTGTCTCCAAACTCACTTAGTCAAACCTGCAGATAGTTAGGACTAAGATCGAGTCATCCCTTTCGATAAACGAAAGACTTCCATCTTTTCCTTTTCGGCCAAACCTATAAAAGTTAGGGTCGAAATCAGAATTTCTCATCAATAAATGAGGAACTCTTTTCTTGGATCAAGCAACCAATCCTATAAAAGTTAGGGTTATTTGAATCTTTCCGATTCTCGAGTGGAAATCTCACTCCTAGTTTCATCTTTGCCGGATTCTAGGGGTGAAGATCCCACCTCGAGTTTCCTTTCCAACTGGAGATAGAATATAAAATTCTTCCTCTTCAGTGTTGAAAGATAAAATATAAAATTCTTCCTCTTTCATTTTTTTTGGGTTCGTCTTTACCCTAAACAAGACCGGAGGCCAAGAATATAAAATTCTTCCGCTCCAACATCGGGTTTTTCTTTACCCTGAGAAAAGACACGATTCTCAATTTCAAATCTGCGTACTTCGTGCACAAGAAATTTTATCTCGACTCCTAAATAGAGATAAGCATACGCCTAACACGCGTTGTCGGTTTAGTCTTTCACCGAGTGAAAAAGACACAAGAATACGAGTCTGTGGACTTTTATCCCGAATCCTAAGTAGGGATAAGTCTGCGCCTAACAAGCGTTGCCGGGTGCCATATTCATGTAAGAAATGGTAAAGTCTATGTATAAAAAAAAACATAGCACCAAGTCTAGGAGAATTAACTCTCTTAGCACAACGTTACATGTGAAACGGGTTTTAATAATTCACATGCTAGCCTGATTCAAACGGTAGTCGGTAAAGGCACATCAAAACCGTTAAAGGCTGGGGGTTTGCCAAAAATCCTAAGTCTGCGCTTAACACGCGTTGCCGGATGTCATATTTCCGAAGTCTATGTATTCAAAGTCATAGCATTAAGTCTAAGTGAATTAATACTCTTAGCACAACGTTATATGCGGAACGGACCAAAACAATCTGTATGCTAGCCCGACTCAAACGGTAGTCGGTAAAGGCTCATCAAACCCGTTGAAGGCTGGGGTTTGCCAAAAATCCCACAATTGTTATGGTTAATTATTCCACACAGAATAAGACATCATAATAAAAGAGGTATAATGAACGAAAAAAAAGAGAAATATCTTCTATTAATAAAAATTGAGTTTGCAGGTACAAAAGTCATGGTCATTCTACACGAAGTTTATGGTTAAGAACTTGTTGCTTTAACTGCGACAACTCTTCCACATAGGCTTGCTTGAGCTCTTCCTGCAATGTAGCCTTCATAGATTCTTCGTTGGCAGATAACATCCTTGCGGCCTCTTCTTTTGCCTTGGTCAGCTCCTGTTCCGAGAGTTTCAACTCTCTAGACGCGATCTCTTGGTTACGTTCTTCGTTAACCCTTGTCATTTCTAAGAGTTCCCAAGTCTCTTCTTCCGCTTGAAGCTCTTGTTTGACTTGCGCTATCTTGCCAACACTTGATACGAGGGAGGACTTGATATTCTGCAGAGTTTGTAACTTGTTGTCAAGAACGGCTTTCATCTTATTTACCTTACTTTGGCGCACTTGAACTTCAGGTTCAACCAATGCCTGGGCATCGCGCCACGCTTTCAGCCGAGATTCCATCTGAGCAGCTATGTACGAAGGAGCACCTGTATCTCGGAATTCTTTAAGCTTTTGAAAATCACGCTCCGGACGAGTCAAGTCATCAGCAATAGCTCGTGACAAGTGTGGCGATCCGATTTTCTCTATTAAGGATAATTTGCGATCGAGGAATGGTCTGAATTGACGGAAAGAGGTCCCACTATGGAGGAGTTTGTCAATCATCTTGCCCACGAAAGTGAAAAAGCTACTAACTTCCGTACAAAGGACAATCTGGTTCGGATCGTCATCTAACAATAGCGCTTTGACAAGATCAGAGAGTTGGAGCGAAATCCCTGTAAAAAAATAGGAATCAAACATTTCAGAATATTGACTTGAGTATCTTCAATCTTCGGTGTAGAGCTTACCAAGACCGACAGAAGTCCCCTCAGCTGGATTTCCAACACTTGATTCTACCTGCACAACCTCATGAACTGGCGAAGGCGCCACAAAAGCAACAACCGTCGATGTATCAACCTTTTCAGTTGGTCCGACGATTTGTTCAACCGGACTGACCCCCGCAGCTGCAGTAGTCATCTCGGTTGCTAGGATCGTGTGCTGAGTTTGGGCCACTGACGACTGAGTTTCTATGATAGTTCCTGCCAACAGCAAGAGATCAAGACCCTCAGGATCGTCAGATATCCCAACAATAGTAGTTGCATCAGTCTTAACGACTGGTCCTACAAGTATGACTCCCTTAAGGATTAAAGTGAAACCGATAAGGGAATAATTTTCATAAAAGGACAAAATTCATACCCACAGAAGAACCAGCTTCGATGACCGGTTCAACAATTTCAATAATTGGTTCAACAGCTTCGATGACCGGTTCGGTAACATCTCGGCGAGTTTGTTCTAACAGCATGTCATCAAGTAGCCTGTCACCACAACCTGAAGGGTCCTGTATGGGATTAGACGGAGGTGCATTAGTTGCATGATGAAAGGTTTCTGTATCATTCAGGCCTTCCATTGGAACATCTGAAGAAAATTCTAAGTGTTAAGACATGGAAAGAGAAGTGAAAATTAGCAATGTGAGAGAATTAAATTCACCTTCGGTAGTGACGACCTGCTCTTCAACCCCCAACGTCAACAATCGCCTCTTGTAGCTTTTCTAAAAAAGCCAGAAGCATATAAGCAATTAGAGGAGGGACGAATTCTGAGTCGTTTAATACCCGAGATTGCCATCTAAGCCAGAAGCATATAAGCAATTAGAGGAGGGACGAATTCTGAGTCGTTTAATACCCGAGATTGCCATCTAAAAGTTGTACTACCGGTAATAGGGGGGAGGGACGAATTCTGAGTCGTTTAATACCCGAGATTGCCATCTAAAAGTTGTACTACCGGTAATAGGGGTACCTGGGCTAGCAATCACCGCAGACAAATCAGATCTTACAACGATACCTTCACCAGCTCCAGGTGCCATATTTGTTTCGATACCTGTTAGATCCTGATTCACGGCCTTATCTGTTTGTGGCGCGAAGCATGACCCTCTAAAAAAGTCTAAGTCAGGAGAAGGAGGATTGTACATCATTGAGTCTTCATCATGACCTTCTGGAATAGAAAATTCGCTGAATCTAAAGTTTGGTAGAAGAAAAGGTTGAAAAAATAACAAGAGTTGGAACATTACCTCCCCCAACAATGGGTATGTCACCGAGTGGTTCTGCGTTGGGAACTGACGATGTGACGCGTCGCCTCAAAGTCATCTTCTGACGTTTACAAGGTCGTGTCTCGTCAGGATCCGCAGGTATACTCGGTATGGATTCAGCACATGGTTCAATTAAGGGATCAATTCGAGCCACGGTCCGAGAACTAGTGCAAGTAAAGCGACGACCTTTCACTTCCTTTCCTCCTTCAGAGCCTAGACCTGGAATTTTAAACATTTTGTGAGGATAAGTGGGTAAAGCTTTCCACCTTTTTCGGGTCTTAAGTCGGCGAATTTGATTGGCTACTGCCAGATCCAATAGCTCTGCGAAGAAGGGCACTAACAAACCTGTGTCGAGTTCCTCTTCATCACGGTCTGCCGCTTTAGCCTTACCGCTGACAACATCTGCATCTGAACATTCTTCTTCAAAAAAGAAGGGATCGTCCTCTTGTTCCTTATCTGTAGAAGGACCGGCGAGTTCTTTGCCTTTCCTCTTCTGGTACTCAGCCTCATAAACCATTTGGGTAGCAATCCGAGCTGCTGCCTCGGCTGCCAACTCGGCAATTGGCTTCACCGTGACGGACTCATTGGCCGCTAATAACCAACGGCAATATAAGAAGGTAAGTTCCAGTTGGCGTTCAGCATCCGGAAGACTAAACCTGGCGCCCGAATTTGATTGGCTACTGCCAGATCCAATAGCTCTGCGAAGAAGGGCACTAACAAACCTGTGTCGAGTTCCTCTTCATCACGGTCTGCCGCTTTAGCCTTACCGCTGACAACATCTGCATCTGAACATTCTTCTTCAAAAAAGAAGGGATCGTCCTCTTGTTCCTTATCTGTAGAAGGACCGGCGAGTTCTTTGCCTTTCCTCTTCTGGTACTCAGCCTCATAAACCATTTGGGTAGCAATCCGAGCTGCTGCCTCGGCTGCCAACTCGGCAATTGGCTTCACCGTGACGGACTCATTGGCCGCTAATAACCAACGGCAATATAAGAAGGTAAGTTCCAGTTGGCGTTCAGCATCCGGAAGACTAAACCTGGCGCCAGTGCAACCCGTAACATTCCACAACCACGCCCGGGCACCGTCTACTAGGCCACCACGAGTCCGGAGTCCTGAACTTGGATTCTCAACATATATCTGATCATACCCAAGTTGTTGTGCGAACCTGCATGGTAGATACGGTTCTATGTAGCAGTAGTTCTTTACTCGGAAAACCACATAACCTGGCCTGATGTTCACTAGCCAATCAAAGCACCCAGTGTCAAGGCAGGTCCGACCGGTACCAGATTTCTCCATGTCAACCAAGGAATCACCATAACGACCCGAAAATCGAGGGAAACATGTCGAGACAACCCAGCATTTATGGTCTTGCAGTCGTTTCCGTATGTCTAAGAACCCTCATCCTTTCCATTTACAATCTTCTATCAGTTGCAGCAAGGGGACGGATTGGTTCGCAACCTTTGGTGCATCCATCATATCAGGGCGGTGAAGAACAAACCACACTATCAGGTAAGTGTAGGGCAGCTCCACCTTGGCTGTTTGGATTACAGCACTTGGCTTACTTCCTTCCTGAGTGAAAGTACTAATCATTTGCGAAGACCACGGTGGATATCGACGATCATTGCCGGGAGGAGAGAAAGATTTTTCCGGTGAGCCAACTGAACAGCGGGGTAAAATACCTCCACGGGCAGAACATCCGTGGGTTGATATGAGACTACGTATTTCTTTAGCCAAATGGTAAGATAACCAGCCAACAGAGTCATCGGGTGAATAGGCTTCAAAGTATGCCATAAGAATGTGTGAAACTTGGTCCCAGCAGGAAAATCATCCTCGATACCGACAGTGGTGTAGGAATGCGCGTCAGACTTCTTAATTAACTCATTAATCTCCGCCGAAGTCGATGGCCTCAGCTCACAAACCGCTTCTCCAGAATTGCTTTCTAGATTTCTGAATAAATAATTTGCAAATCTTTTCAAAGTGATTTGCGGTTTGGTCCTCTTCAATACTGGGTCGACACCTACCAAAGCTGTGTAGTAATGACATGTGAGATCTCACAAAGTGTCGTAGCGATTCGGGGTAGTCGACTTCAACTAACGTAACTCCCGATTCGAAGGGAAATATTCTTGGTATAACATATTCCCCATGGGCAAACCCGAAACCTTATTCATCTCATGAAGAGCTAATCCCAATTCCCCGCGCTTCGTCAGAAATGTATTTGTGTTGGGATTGTAAAGCTCCATCAACGCAAGGAAGTGGGGAACGCTGATAGTCAGCTCATACATAGTGGCACGAACGGCCGCGTACAATCTGCTGGCCTTCAATTCTTCACCCCATCGAGCGAGCATATAGTTGGTTAGGCGAGACCACTAAAATTTATCTGAAGAATGGACCGAACCATAACATCTGTAGTTATTGGCAGGCATTTCTCTCCCAAGTCTTGCGAGGCGATTCTTCAGAGTGTTAGCAACCGCACATATCTCACCACGTGGCGGGTCATTCAATCCCAATACACCGGGATGCAATCCGGTGACACGATTTCTGTTACTTGAACCAGGAGCGAAATGATGAGTGATGTATTCACAATGGACACGTTCACGTTCCTCCGTCAGATCCCACGACATCTCTCGTTTAACAGCCTATCGTCGTAGTTCAATCAATGAGCTATGACGAGGAATATAAGGGATATATAAAAAGCCCCATTCATCCTTATGTAACCATTGCTCAGCTTTGAGAGACACGATGATCGGGTCCTCAACAGAGTCGCCAAATAGATAATCTGGCTTCTTTAGGGGATGAATGGAGTTAACGTCTTCAACCAGAGGTACGTCGGTAATCAATTACCGTAAGGTACGACGATCTCGCGTGAATTAGTGGGGGAAGTTCTTTAGGTGCACCCGGAGCAAACTGGGGGATAACCGGAATGAGCATAGGGTCGTTGGCAGAAGCATAAGCCTCGCCATAGCGGCCTTCCACCGCATTGGCGAAATGTAATTATGAAGTTTTCTGGTTATCTAAACAGGCGTTGATCTCACAATACGGTGAGATAGAGTCACGATCCTGTAATTGGTGAGACGGTTTCAACGATATTACGCGCGCACAAGATAAAGTATGCTATCGCACAACAATGCGACAACATACCTTACCCCGCGCGATGCGATACAATGTGAAATCGCCCCAAGTTAATTTAGGCGTGTGTTGACCAAGCAAAACACGGCTATGAAATGGCCACACCCACGAAGGAGAATGACGGCTCTTCCCGATTGCCTCACTAAGGAGAACAAAATGTGGATATCATATATAATACATCCATGTGGGTTTCCAAGCAAAAAAAAAAGGAAGAAGAAAAGGTGCTTGTTAATTTAGGCGTGCTTTGACCGAGCGAAACACGGCTATGAAGCGGTCACGCCCACGAAGGAGGGTGACGGCTCTATACCGATGAAATCGCCCTAAATTAATTTAAGCGTGTTTTGACTAAGCGAAACACGGCTATGAAGCGACCACGCCCACGAAGGAGAGTGACGGCTCTATACCGGTGAAATCGCCCTAAATTAATTTTAAGCGTGTTTTGACCAAGCGAAACACGGCTATGAAGCGGCCACGCCCACGAAGGAGAGTGACGGCTCTATACCAGTGAAATCGCCCCAAATTAATGTAGGCGTGCTTCGACCAAGCGAGACACGGCTATGAAGCGGGCACACTCACGAAGGAGGGTGACGGATCTTCCCAATTGCCTCACCAAGAAGAACAAAGTGGGGATGCAAGATGCAATGTTAATATTAAAGTTGTAAATAAGAGAAATGACAACGTTATACCGGTGCAACTGAAAGGTTTGGGCTCGGGTGACTAGGTAGCAGAACGACCCCTCGCGGTACGTGACTTCTTCGTCGACATAGCTAATCTGCAAGAGAAATTAGTGGTTCAGATATATTGAGATCGACGAATTAACAGTCCAATAATCAAAAGGGAAATTGCGATATTTAACTGAAATTCTAAAATTTAGGATTTTTCAGTTAAAAAATCCAATAAAACCTACGTAATATATATATCATTCAAGGTGAAAGAAAGGAGAATCGAGTTGAAGGTTGCGAAGTCAAGCACAGGGTCTCGACCACCTCAACATGTTGATTCACAAGCCTACGGAATCGTCCGAAACTAGAAACATGGATATTAAATTGAGTTTCAGAATCGTGCATATATGGGTTCGACACAAGAAATTCCTACGGCAAAAATTCACATATACAAAGAGAAAACACCCAACAATTTCAGTTTAAGTTTGCACATACACCCCCAAAAATTTCAGCCCATATTTGCACTTTTAGCCCCAAAATTTCAGCCCATATTTGCACATACAACCCCCCAAAATTTCAGCCCCAAATTTGCACAAAAACCCTCCAAATTTCAGCCTCATTATTACACATAACACCTTCAACAATTTCAGCTATTTTTACACATAAATCCCCAAAATTTCAGTCCTATTTTTACATAAAACTCTTCAAATTTCAGCCCACTTGTTGCACATAAACCCCCACAAATTTCAGCCTTGTTTTCAGCCCACTTTTTGCACATAAAACCCTCAAAATTTTGGCCAAAAACACCCTCAAATTCCCCAAATTTTACACATAAACCCCCAAAATTTCAGCCCATTCTTGCATAAATACCCCTCAAATTTCGGCCATCTACATATGTACAAGATTAATTTTTTTTTAAGATCAAGGGTGAGGGAATCCATATCCAATTTTCGGCCAACTTTCAAGGACAAAAAAATCAATAGTTGAATTTTCCCCCAAATCAAAAACTAGGGTTTTGAAATTTGGAGGATTCAAAAGAAAAGAACCAAATTAAAAGCCATGAAGGAGAAGGATTCTTACCGAAGCTTGAAGAATCTTTGAAGAGGAAACTTTGTTGTCAATGAAGATCAAAATCCTCCTTGCCTTGCTTGAAAACCTTGGAGATGAAGAAGGCTTAGAAAGAAGGGGTTGAAGGCCTTGAAGAAGATGGGTTTAAAAGCTTTAGAACTCTTGATGAGGGAGAGTTCTTGGGGAGGAAGAACTTAAAACCGAGCAACAAAAGGGGGGGACGGAAATTCTGTCAACACCGAACAGAAGAGGAAGAAAAGAAAGAGGAGGGTCAGTTTTCTTTAAGTTGGGTGAATTTTAAGTGAATTGGACCCAAGTGAACCGAACCCATATGAACCGGACTGGTCCGAACCAGACCAGTCTGAACCGAACCAGTTTAAATCATGCCCAAATCACAAGTGTCTTTTGATGGTTCACATGCGTATGAGGCGCGAAATGTTGGCTCGAACGTGTAGAAAGATTCGGGAACAATTTATATACACTTTGAACCTCTTTTCGGGTATTTTTCGGCGTATTCGACGCCTGTATTCATACTCCAATGAGAATACGAGTCTAAACTATTTCCCACCATTGACGGAAAGTTCCTGAAAAATATTATGCATAATATTTTTAAGTATAACCCGTCAACCTCAGATGGGTACACGAGGCTAAACTAATTCCCGAAACTCCCAGGAGTACACGAGTATAAACTGGTTCTCCTCACGTTAACGCGAAACCCTAAGGTCAACGCCGGTCAACGCGTAACCTTAGGTCAACGCCGGTCAACGCGTTGTAAGAGAGTCAACGTCGATCGACACGAAACCCTAAGGTCAATGCGGATCAACGCGTAACCCTAGGTCAACGCCGGTCAACGTGTTGCGATGAGAGTCAACGTTGATCGACACGAAACCCTAAGGTCAACGCGGATCAACGCGTAGCCCTAGGTCAACGCCGGTCAACGCGTTGCAATAAGAGTCAACGTAGATCGATTCGAAACCCTAAGGTCAACGTGAATCAACGCGTAGCCCTAGGTCAACGCCGGTTAACGCGTTGCGATGCAGATAATTAATCCAAAAGTCAACTCAGCGAGACGAGCCAAAATTAACTCACCAAATTCCGATTCGAGACTTCGGCAACAGACAGACGATAAACGCAGCGCCGGAAGCATTACAACTGTTCGATAAAACACTGAACAGACTGAAATGTGGAGAAGTCAAGAACTGAAATCGGTTATAGGTCCTTTAATACCGACTGAAGGTATAGGACTATCACATCCAAAGTATTTCAGACTCCTCTTTAAAGGAATGAGGCTGAAACACTTTGGAGGGGGTATCTGTAGGTGTCTAAAATGCCTATAAGTTCTCATATACGGCTCAAGATGAAGAGGAGGCGATAAACATCGTCATTCAAATTGAGAAGATTCAACCAAGTGGCCCGTACGCTCAACGGTCACCGGAATGATGAACCAGGTGTCTCGTGCGCTCACATGCTATTTCTAATTGGCCCGCGCACTCATTAGCCAGTTCGAAGTAACCCGCGCATTCGCTGACCATCGGAACGACAAGCCAACTAACCTAAAAATTAGCCCAGCCACCGTCAAAACGATCCGCGCGTTCACAAAACGCGCAAAGCAAATCGAGGAAGCGTACCGATCGGCGAAGCAATGAGATACATACAAACGACGGAACGAGCCGAACTCTAGAAAACCACGAAAGCCTCTGGCGACCGGGACGCGTCGAAACAGTCCGGTCAGACCAGTGACCACCATTTGGTGGCTCGGCCATGACCGAGCCACTTCGGTGAATCGACCAGAATCAGTTTTTTCGGTTCTTTTATGGATTCTTTCGGGATTTGGGAGTTCCAACTGCTCTGATAAATTGGTTATGCAGTTGCTAACTGAAGATAGAGAGGATCCCTTGTTTTGATCTGAAGAAACCATCAACCAAGCCTATAAATAAGAGCTCTAGTGTTCATTTTTTGAGATCTGGAAATCAAGAGGACGAAGTGTCAACCAAGCCTATAAATAAGAGCTCTAGTGTTCATTTTTTGAGATCTGGAAATCAAGAGGACGAAGTGCTGTCAAATTGGAGATTGGAGCACGAATTTCAGAGAGTTAGCAGATCTTGGCAGAGTTCTTCAACAAAGTAAGAGTTCGAGAGATCTGCGACTCATCTCATCCTCCTCCGGATTTAAGCTTAGTCTTAAATCCCGAGAAGAGCCGTGATTTTGCTTAGTCAAAATCGCCGCTGTTGCAATCACTTCCTTCGTGAAGCGAAAGCACTGATTATCCAAACTTCTGCTCACCAGATCCTGATCCGTAGGCGGTCCACGGATAAACCCCGATACCGGCAACGATCCCGCACAAGCAATAGGCGATAAACTTCTATTGCTTGTAGTTTGAGAGAAAATTATAACTTTTGATTTTAAAGTCTTATAAAAAGGCTATTTTTTGAGTTTATTGTAAGTGTTTGAAGCTGTAATGGGCTCATCAAAGAAACAAGTTTTCCACCCAAACAGTATAATGTTAAAAAAGAAAATTGTGAATCTTCGATTGAAATTCTACAAAATAGAATTTTCCAGTTGAAGGTCTGATTAAACATATACGACATCCCCCATTCAAGTTAAAGCGAGAGGAAAATAAGATATACAAATCAAACAAAGTCCAACGGCTATTCCTCAAACCAAAGACCACGATCTTATGAATCAAGCAAGCCATCACCATCACCAAGACATGAGCATCGACTTAAATTTCAAGTTATATACATGGTTATGGACAACAATCAAAGGCCTCGGTCATACATAGGTCATTCGGCTATGTACAAGTACGGATTTAAATCATTCGATCATGTACAAATTCGGATCCAAGGCACATACAAGAATCAAAAGACAAAAGAGCTCGGCTATATACAAATTCGAATTCGAATCATATACAAGTTCAAACCACAGAAGAGTTCGGTCAAGAGTTGGGTCATGTACAGGTTCGAGGAGCTTTTCGACCACACATTAAACCAAAAGCTCAACAATTTTTCAGCCATGTATAGGTTCAACAAATATTTTTTCGGCCATATACATAAGATCGAGATTTGCATAAAATTCAAGGGTAAAGGCATCCAAATTTCAGTCCTATTTTTATACATAACACCTTCAAATTTCAGCCCTATTTTTACACATAACACCCTCAAATTTTAGCCCTATTTTTACACATAACACCATCAAATTTCAGCCTTTTTTTACACATAACACCCTCAAATTTCAGCCACCTTTTTAACACATAAACCCCCATAATTTCGACCCTAAATTTGCATATAAAACCTCCAAAAGTTCGGTCAATTTGACAACAACATCCTCAACAATTTCGGCCATATACATATACATGAAATTAAGCAAGTAGTGAAATCAAAGGTGAGAGAATCCAAGCCCACATTTTTGGCCAACTTTCAAGAACAAAAAAATAAAGATTTGAGTTTTCCCACAAATCAAGAAATTAGGGTTTTAAAATTTGGAGGGTTCAAGAGAAAGGAACCAAATTGAAGAGAGGTTGTTACCAAAGCTTGAAGAAGTGTTGAAAAGAAAGCCTTGTTGATGATGAAGCCTAAGATCCTCCGAACCCAACTTGCCTTGCTTGAAGCCTTGGAGAAGATGATAGCTTGGAAGGAAGAAGATGAAGGCTTTGAAGCTTTGAAGAGGAAGGGGTTAAAGGCTTTGAAGGAGAAGAGGATGGAGTTCTTGGGGAGGGAGAACTCAAAACAAAAAAGGGGGGGGGGGGGCTAGAGAAGAAGAAAAGGCCATGATGAAGTCGGTCTTGGGGGATTTTTAAAAGCCTGAACCGATCTGAACCTAAATTACAAGTATCTTTTGTGGTTCACATGCGTATGAGGCGCGAAATGTCGGCTCGAACGTGTAGAAAGATTCGGGAACAATTTATATACACTTTGACCCCCTTTTCAGATGTTTTTCGACGTATTCGACGC